AACAGTTACCAAGCAGCAAGGCGAGCTCCACTGCCTGCAAGATGATGAGTATAATGATCAGGGTGGGCTGCGTTTTAAAGAAAGGCATGTGAAACATTTTATTGCAGTATCATTTCCACCTTCATTTTTAGACACATGAATATTTTGTAGCACTTCTGACAGCACTGTGAATGTCAGTCATTGTGTGGAGGTTACACAGTACAGTCTGAATAACAATAAGGCGTGTAATGCTGGAAAGAGAAGCTCAATGCTTCCTCATTGCGCTCCGAGTTTCCTCAACAGACCTTCCTCCTACATTTCATCATGTTCCTCATTTATCATTTAACATGCGTGGGAAAGATCACGCAGCTGAATACCAAACTGTGGTATCTGTAGGGATGTATAACAACTTCCACCACAATAAAGATATTAAAGCTATTCTTTGGGAAACTAAACAACATGCTGATTTCAGAAAGTCTGCCATTTGGAATTGATTCAATTCAGGAGGCTGCGATCGATATGAAACAATATCATATGAACATCTAACACAATCACTGAGATTTATATCGACTCACAAAAAGGAAATAAAATAGGATTCCACCCTTTTATTACTGGGCTCTGTAAGAAACAGGTTTGCTCTAATGGGAATCAGCGACAGACGATGGCATTTCTAAATAAAACATAACTTAAGGATGATATTACATTACATGTTACTTGTTAGACACTTTTATCCAAAGCAACTTACATACTCAATACTGTGGGCAATCCCCACAGGAGCAATTGTGTATGATATGTATTGATGCTTTCACTTTGATTGAATCAATATCAATCCGGATAGATCGATCGTTACACACAATGTTATCCAACGCTGCCTTTGAATTAAACGTTTTAGATTCTCAAAACATTAATGACTGCCACAAACGCATCCCAACAATTTCACTTCGGGGCGTAATTGTGATGTTTCAAACATGGTTGTTCTGACACAGCATAGAGTTCAATAACCTAAACATGGAATCAACAGCAGTGTTTTTCTCTCAGTGTTCTCTCACCTTCTCTGTGTTATATTGTTGGTGCCATGATTATGCGGTTTCTGCAAGTTGCATTGAGTTTCAGTGACACAAATCTCCACATGCGTACCTCTAAAGACTGATTCTGACAAAAACTAGAACCCAGACTTTTAGCGTTTAAAATTCATGTAGATCTGGTCAAATGTTTGTAAAGACACGTGTGTGGTTATCTTTAAAAGACCTCTGGATAAGCTGAATATACTGGACTTTGATTGAAGACGTTTTGAAAAGCCCTCCAGAAGGGTTTCCCTTTGTGTTGCCCTCCGTGACGGGTTCAGGGCTTATAGGATCAATCTGAGGATATTCTATATTTCTTTTCTTCTCATCAACTAATCCCACGTTCAGACTCAGACCAATAGTTAATGTGAACTCTTAGAAGTGTTATGCGTGTATCAAATATATTTATTATGTCTAGTACCGAAGAGCTCCATTGTTGCCCAAAATCTATTAAAAAACACAATCCCACACACACCATCCTGCTGCCACAAATACTCACTACAAATGTGGATTCATCCGCACAACAGATGCACGATTTCCTCAGGTTTGTTTGCTAAAAACAACAGTGAGCAGCTGTTTCAGCAGTTTTAAAAATAAAATAAAAGTACAGATGTGTGTTTCAAAGATATACCATTCAGTGGGAACTTGTTGGCGATAAGACAAAATATTGAAGAACACATCTTGTCCTTTAACTCAAGTCCTTTTGGTTCTGGTTAGGTCTTAAAGTTTGTGTTGTGTTTATATATCGGGGCGTAGCCTGTACAATTGTTTTTAAAGTGCATTGCTCTTTGAAAAGGTGTATTCGCATTATAAGGCAACTTTGATATTGCTATCTGTGGCGGAAAATGGTCTTAAAGTGACAAATATCGCAGTTATTTCTGGGACAACACTGTATACTATTGTCATTGTGACAACAGATTTGAACACAACATCCCAGATACCAAGATAAACTAATCAACGCCTTTACTTCACGACATACACTTCATGCTTTCAGCGCATATTTATGTTTTAAACAAGATGTTTCTGGACGGTACAGGTGAGCACCAGACACACCTAAAGCTTAAAAAATGGACTTGTTGGTGCAGTGAGGCTAAAAGAAAAGAGAAGGTGTCTTCAGCCATGTAGCATCATTACAGACTCACAGCATGGACAGGCAGGACAGAGGAAGCAGTGAGACGAAGACTCAAACCAGGAGCCAAATGTCAAACTGTTCAGCTGCAGTGACTCAGAAGACTTAGCAGCACTGCAGTGTGGATAAAAAGGTCAACAACATGTTTAAACCAGGGGAGGACCTCCATACTGAGACAATGGCACAATGCTGTTCTATTATTAGTTCTGATATACACACAGCGTCTGGTCGTGATATTTGTTGAACGACGATGAAGTCACAGCAGGTCACAAACACAAGTCTGTCTCCCTTATCAGATCATCGTTACCTTGTGTAAAGTGCTGCGATCACTCCTGTTATTGATCCAGGAAGTGATGTTTTTACTTCAATGTGGATGAGACCATCAGATAACATGTGTTTATTCCAGGTGTGATGACATTTTCTAAATCTATGTATTGCTCTGTTTAAAGACTCCACCAGAACAAGTGAGGTGTTCAGTCATAAGGTTGAGTTTAAAGAACCGTACCTGTGCTTTTAATGTTTAGGTTATTATTTAGGTAAAGTTGACTGTAATGGATGCTCCTTGATGACAGTTAAGAAAGTTCAGTCTCTATTGTTTGTTTTCTGTCTATTGTATTCCAATAAAATGTCTAAATGCTGTTTAAAGTATGCCAGAGAAAAAACTAATATTCCTACTTTGGTTATTAATCTTTCTTTAAAGCAGTAAACTGAGTCTATAAATCCTGTAATCAGCCTATCAACAAACCTACATGTGAATAAACGCCATCACTCATTCTCAAGTTGACTCATACTTCTCAAAATAAATTGAAAAGGACATGACCTCAGTGCTCTAAAGGCAGCTGCAGACCTCAACACTTTGATAACACAGTATTGTCCGAATACAAGTAAATGAAGACAATGCAAATCATTCAATAACATGTTCACTGACGCTCCATCTGGGATTAAATCATCATTTAAAAACATCTGCATATACAATATATTTCAACCGTTAGAGACACTGCATTCTTTTACATGTTACCTAGTAAGGATACGAGGTTCTAATTTATAATATAGGCTAAAATTGGAGGGATTTTGTTGGGAAAGCACAGTGGAAATAACACTAAATACACGTCAGGTTACTGCCCCTGCATGGCAGTGATGGGGAAGGTGCGAGTCCTCACAGAGACAGTTACAGAGCCCACATTTATGAGTGGATAAGTAAATGTGTTTTCTCACTCACCGGCATCATGTTGGCAGTTTTCCTCTCTGTCGCACCCAGTCTGCAGCAGAAACCATCAAAGCATCCTCCTCCTCTGAAGTGTGTGTTCCTCCTCTGTTTGCTTCATTTACACCACATGCATCCCCATTAATATAATTACTATTATTTATATTTCCTCCTCGACCTGTTGCAGTGACCCAGCGGGCCTTTCCCTCTGTAGGTCCAATCCCTCTGGAGGACAGGTGGGATAATAAAAAAAAGAGGATGTTTTCGGAGGAGATTTTGCAGGAGACAGCTCGCAGGAATAAGTGAGCAGGACACAAAACGCAGCTCTCCTGCTGAGCGGTAAACCTGCTCAACGACCACGATCCGTCTGACTGTGTGTGTGTGCGTGACGTGTGTGTGTGTGTGTGTTTGGGTCCCAACCATTCAGTCAATGGTCAATACACACCAGGGAGGGGAATACCTCTTCCGGTGAGAGATTTCAGAATAAACTCACCATTTGTCTAGAATACTGTATACTTTATTGATTCATCTTAAGCAGCAACAGGAATAACATTAAACTACAGGATATCACAGATACATTTTCACACAAGGATAAACATTTAAAGAATGTGATTCTGTTGTTGAAATACATTCAGGAAGTTTCTCTATGATGTTATAAAAAGGCATGAAAAAAATAAAATACTCAACGAAATGAATACTAATAAAATATATAATCAGAGAATACATTTACGCTAAAAATGAGTTTACAGCGTAATTCATATTTGTCTTTACTATTTCTGAATTATGATGGATAATGTGGAAAATACAAAACAAAATTAAAAAGTCATTTATTTTCATATAAATGTGTAATCAAAATAATTGATTGACACAGTTTAGGCTTTCAGACTCTCATCATGTCTGAAATTTTTTTTTTTCATTTTTTATGTAGATGTTTCTGTGCTCTGCAGTTTACCCGCTTTTATTTTGAAGGACTTGTTATCGATAATCCGGTTTTAATATGTTCGATTTGACGCAACTCGTCACCATGATCGCCTGGCAACAGAAACAAACTCCTCCTCCTTTCTCAGCGCGCGTGTGTGTGTGTGGTGTGTGTGTGTGTGTGTGTGTGTGTGTTTGTGTGCAATTGCAATTACAGTTCTGTATAACACTACCTCTTTTACAATCTCCACAACCCTCCACTTTGACATCTAATAAACTGTACTTTGTCATACTTTCACTATACTTCGTTTTTGTTTATTCATATTCTGTGTACATAATGTGTGTTACATAGTTTTTTGTAACATTTTATTTTTATTATAGTGGTCCTCTTACAACTGTGTCCCCTAATGTTAGCACCAATATACATAAAAAAACCTGATTCTGAGTGAAGTAATAGCTGTGTATTTTCAGCAGAGGGCAGCACTGCGCGGCAAGTAATTATTACTGCCTTCAAAATAAAAGCCTAAAAGAATCTTGTGTAAAACATCACATCTTACTGGTCACAAAACAGTACTTAACCACTACAGGCACTGGTAATAACCCTATATGGATAAAACACAGCAGCACATGTATTCTGTTATCTGCCCATACTATTGGACAACTCAGTGAAACCTTTATTTTGAAACCGGAACTTCTCTGTTTATCTCACCGGAGTGGAACTCGGAGCCGACATGCACACACGTGGATAATAGAGCTCAGCTAAACAGGGATTTAACAACTTAATATCCAGGTAAATACACATTTATTTAATAGTGTTTCGCTTTCATGTTGAGTACAAGTTGGCTTCGCTTTCTTGACTTCGGCCCGATTCGCTTTCTTGTCTTTCGCTACTGAAGAAAACATGTCAAACTGAATTGAGAATCTGCTGCTTTAAATATAAAACATTTCCCTCTTAGTCAACGCATTTTGTTAATAAAACGACCTTTTGGGAGCTTATACGTTTCCTTACCTAGGTGTTAATTCGGCATAAGAATACGTGACATAGACCTTTTCTAACGTTACGTTTTTAGCAAGACTTGACACCGCTAGCCAGCCTGTGCTCAAGATAATAAGTCATAAAATGAACATTTCTGAAAAGGAAATAACTCATTATTGCGTTTATACTAACCCGAATCCTAGTGTAACTCATTTTAATACCCTATCATACCTGAAGTGAGACTTAACCATATTTGTACACATTTAAATAAGCTAGGAAGTAATAGAAATGCTGTTTTTTGTATGGAGCCCTTGCCCTGCTACGCTAGATACCTGCATTTATTACGATTGGCTTTTACCAAATAGTGTGAGGTTAATTATCATGGAAAATATATCAGAAGTTAAATTATTAGGAAAAAAAACATATGGTTTTAAACTTATTTGGAGCTAAGATGGTAAACGACCTGCCATTCATGAGCACAACAAGATATTAAACTAAACACATCTGGAGATATATTTATATGTCTTGTCAGTTTTAGATTTAGATGTACCTTTATTTTTTGAATGCACCTGTTCGTTTTAGATTTTGTGTTTGAAATGTCTGAAAGCCATGATAAAGATTTTAAAATTCAAACATCTGGAGATACATGGATTTCACTGTACATGAAGTGGATGAAACAATGTAATCTTGAAAAGTAACTCAAGCTGTCAGACAAATGTAGTGTTGTAAATCATTCAATATGTACCTCTGGGATGTATTAGTGTAGTATAGTGTAAAGCTGCATATCATAGAAGAACTCAAGTAAAGTTTGAGTATCTCTCGTTTTGTAATTGAGTAAATAAACCTAGTTTTATTCCACCACAGCAGATGAGCATCTAGCACATTTCCAGTCTCAAAACCACATCCATTCTCCTCTTGTTTCCCACAGCTGTCAGCGTCTTCCAGAAACTGAGATGACGGGGAAAGGGAAGCAGCCACAGAAGAAGAAGAAGAATATGGCGGCGAACAGCAGTGACGATGAAGACTCTGACGTGGAGAAGAACTTCGCTCTGCTCACTAAGAGAGGAGGAACTGAGGTGGGAGAGTCTTTCCACCAAGGAGAGGAAGAGTCCAGTGATGATGAGGAAGAAGGGCCTGCTGGTGGGACCGATGAAGAGGAAGAAGGAGCAGATGTTGCTGAGAAAGCATCTGATGGTGGTGATGAAGAGGAAGCTGCTGAGGGGGGGGAGGAAGAGCAGGATGAAGACAGTGAAGCCTCTGACGACGATGATGATGATGATGATGAGGAGGATGAGGCTGGAGATGAAGATGCAGAAGAAGCTGGTGGTAGCAGTGAGATCCAGACGAGAGAAGACATTAAGAAAGGTGAGTTTGTCTCCATCATCTTAACCTTAAAGCTGCTTCTACACAAGATGACATGTATTCAGTGTGAAGGACAGTCAGACACTTTGCGTCAGCTGTTCATTAAATTAACTTAAACATTGAGCGTTGGCTTTGAGCGTTGTTATTCAAGTCCTTAGGTTTTTTTTCCTGCTACAGCTAAATGGTTACAAAAAAAATGAAAACTTAAATTGATATGCAGGTTGGATCAAGCCGTATTGTCCCACATGCTTTAGGTTTGACATGCGAAGCACAGTAAGAGTAAAGACTGATGCCTTCATTACTCCCTCTGTTCTCTTTCCCTCCCAGAACTCTCCAACATGTCCTTTGAGGAGATCATGAAGCTTCAGAACAAAGTGGGAACCAAAGTGTACAACGAGGTGGCGTACGGCAGCCAGAAGACGAAAGGGCCGAGCAAAAAGAAACGCCTGAACAAGAACAGGTGAGCAGTCTCAGTTTGTAACCGCAGAATGCTGCTCCGGATTTAAAGTGCACCTATCATGCTATTTGTAGGCAATAGCATACAGTAGGTCTCAGATATATAAATATACAAAACATGTCTATGAAGTGTTTTGTTCAAAATACAAACAGATCACCCATTCTAGCCATGCCTCATATCCCTCTATTTCAATTCCTGTTTCAAAAGTGCTGATTTTATGTATAAAGCTTAAAAAAAAAAAAAGATTGATTAAAAAAAAAGAGGGTCTGAGCTCATGCGGGACCCGGCAGCTACTGTCTAAACTAAATACTGCCGTGATGAAACGCCATATCATGGATTATCAAGGATTATTTCTGAAACAGTATGGAGCTCAAAGGCTTTCTCTCTTGCCGGTTATAACACAAGGTGAGTTCCTTTTTATTTCCTGCTTCTTCACACACATGCTCTCCAGTAAAGGTTAGCTCTGAGTGTTAGCGATGCTAATGTAAACACCGACCATATTACGTCCAAAACAGTCGGGCATTGTTTCTGATAGCAACTTTCTGATAGGGCCGTGGGTCCACATTTCATATATTACGTCATATCGGACGCAAATCTGGATCAGCTCCCNAAAAAATATATGTATTTTTTATTTAATTTTTTTTTCCGGGCACAACCTCACTCATCATACATTGTTTTAAATGACACTCAATCTTCACCATAAATAACACAGCTTTTCCATAGGGTCAAATTAATATATTTTCTAAACCATCTCTGTACTGTAGGTCTCACTATGTATGCGCTCAACTTTATTACCACGCGGCGGAGGTGTATAGCCGTATCACAGCCCCACCCTTGAGCAACCACACAATTTCACTACATATTGTACTTTTGTAACTCTCAATGTTTGTGACTAATAGAACTCCTTGTGTACTTGTACAGCCAGCCTTGTGATTTTTGACTGAAAGGGCAAAAGGCTAGACCTACTATGTGGCTGCCCTGCTTTTGAAAAATAGGTGTGCGATTTGACATGCCAGATTGACTGAAAATTCAAAATATTGGTCATGTTGGTAGGATTGGGTAGGCGTGGTGTTACTTGTTGGTACGTGGGTTGGGGGGGCCCATGAGTGCTCAGTGCCCAGGGGCCCCTGGAGGTACTAATCCGGCCTTGACTAAGACTCTTATCATTTCGCATAGTACGGGGTAAGACTGACTTTCACTTTCACCGTCAATATCTTTAATTGTTTTATTATCCAGTTTTTGAAATGCAATGCGCCCAATGAGAGCCGTACAACACTTAAGATTAATTGCATACATTCTATATTTTGATGTTTTTTTATGTCTTTCCTCGATGCCTTTGTGTCTTAATTAAAGCACTTCAAATTGCCTTGCTTTCAAATGTTGTCATCTAAACACACTTGCCTTGCATTCACTCAGTACTTCTCTCTGCTTTAATTTATTTGCTTTAAAATGATGCATAATGTGCAAACAGAATATGCAAAACCTTGTGTAATTTTCCGTTTAAATCCGACCATCTGCCGGATGTCTGCAACATGTTTTTCTCAGAAGAAAATAGGAGAAAGGAGAAGAGGAGGGAACAGAAGAAGCAGGAGGAGAGATAATTGGATACACTTTTTGAAATGGGGAGACCGGAGGAAGGAGAGAAAGAGGGAGGATTGGAACGTTTGCCCAGGGTTTAGTGTGAGGTGGAGGCAGAAAGAGTTGAAGCCACTGCAGCAACAGTTGGAGGAACTTCAGCGCTGCAGCAATCCGTCTCTGAGCTGCTGCACTGAGGCGTGGTGCGGAGTTACAATCAAACTGCTACACCTCCTCTATGGGACACGCATGTAAAAAGACAACTAAAACAATCCAGCACATCCAGCAGTGGAAGAAGTATTACAAATATACTTCAATGTAAAAACACCAAGTTGGAACGAAGTCTTGCATTCATAAGGAGACGGAGGTAAAACTTAGCATCACGTCTAAGGCATTTTGATTTCTATAACAAATAATTAACACTGTTGGGTAATTTAATATATGAATATTCATCACATCGTAAGATAATCATGCGTTTTGTATGCAAAATCTTTATCTGCAAAGTAGCTAGCAGATAAATGGTGCATAAATATACATATATAGAGGGTATTCATATAAAGTGACATTTAATGGAAAGTACCTCATAATTTTACTTGCTACTTACTTAGTAGTTGAGTAAATGTATTTTGTTATATTCCTACATGAAATTTGACATTTCTGCAGGGTAAAAAAAAGATGTATATGTCATCATAATATACAATATTAAATATTTCTCTTAAATATTTACTGCTAAGAAGTTGTTATTTTTTTCAATATCTGTTCTGACAACTAAGTTTTGATGAGTATTGCTCAAAAACCTTTTGTAAAAGACAACTTTTTCTACACTTTATATTGAAACTGCTAATATTCATGTACTTGAATTACGTATTCAGCCCATGCTAACATATTGTGAGCATGTGTTGGTATGGTCATGAATTGTTACCTTTGCTCTAGAGATATTGTGTTAAACTTCTAAAGACAAAGCAAAGCAGTTGCATTGTTGAGTCTGAACTATATATCAGCTGTTGAAATGTTATAATATTTGTAGGCGTGCTTTGCATATAAAGTGTGCTGCAGCAGTTTATTCCGGGTCGTGATTAAGCATGGAGGAGGAAGACATGAGCTTAACAAGCCTCACTGCTTTCCGAAAAAAAACACAAGCTCCTTTTAATGCAAGGTGAGAATATCAAACGCTCCAACAAGAGAGGTGGCATCAGCATCGAAGCCTGAAGACCTGTTTTTAACATCGACGACGACTTTCTTTGCACAGAATTGTTTAATCAGTAATTTCCTATTTGAAGTTTTAATTTATTTTTTGCTCATGCTTCCTGAATACCTTTGATCTAAATGAAAGAGAAACTCGGTTTGTTGCACCCCAAATGCCACGACACAAAAATCGTAATTTGGCTTGCACACGCCTCACCACAAAATGTTTAGATTTATTTGTCCGCTAGTGTTGAGGAAAGCGAAGCCGTGTGCACCAGGTTTATCTCTGGGCTCTAAACACCTGTCAGAGGCGATGATGGAGAGCAACACTGCGGCTGCACAGTGAAGGAAATAGAAAGCGCTGCAGGTGAAACACAATACAGGGGAATGGCCGATGGAAACGCTTGTTTTGTTCCCCAGTGGGTCATTCAATCGCCTGCGCCCTTGAACACACGGCTCTTCAGTGGAATAACTTAGGCTAAGTGGCGCAGTATTATTAAACTGTGTTTGTGTGTGTGTGTGTGTGTGTGTGTGTGTGTGTGTGTGTGTGTGTGTGTGTGTGTGTGTGTGTGTGTGTGTGTGTGTGTGTCTACAACTTGCGTATGAAGTGGTCAATTGTTCCACCAAACAAAAACACACTTGAGCTGAGTAATACCTCGCCGTTCCCGCTGTGATATTATGATGGTGGTGTTAATAAGGTCTTTGATAAAGGTTACAAACACAGTACTTGTTATTAGTCATTCTACTTATTCAGCATTTGTCATTACACAACATAAAGGCAGTGTTACATACTGTACTGGATTAGTGATGAGAGCTTCCCTAAAATCCTCAACATGTATCTTTGTGTTGGATTCATTTATTTAGTCTGCATTAATGAGAGACAGCCATGATGACAGTATGCCATACAAACAGTGGTGGAAGTATATTTACCATAGCACTATACTTAAGTACACTTTTAGGGTACTTAAATAGCGGGATATATGAAGTTAAATTAATATCACTGATTTCTTGTTTTTGCAGTTTGGTATTATATCACAGTATGACACAATTACGAGCTGTTCATCCCAAAACGTGATTCTACACCAGTGCAATCGATTGGTAATGTAATGGTTCAAATCTTAATAAATACATGTTGTTGAACCATATGTTTTTACTGGAACTGAGAATGAAGAGCAGGCCAACAAATGTTTTGGTATTAGATTATTTCCAATACATTTCGTACCTTTTATCCCACAACAAATGGTCAGATATAGTAAGAAACATGTATCTGTAAATCTGGGGATTTTAAATGTTACCCATTATCTGTTTCATGTGCTTGTTTGATGTTTAACCTGTTAACACTGGTATATTTGAGTAACGCTATACAAATGTTGGATGATAAAAGTGTGCCAATATGTGTTGGCCAACACCAAAGTGTTACAGCGGCCATTTAAACAGTTCATGGTCCGCTGGTCAGAGCTTTTTGCCACTTGTTGACATGAAAGCTGTGTGATGGATTCGCCATTTACTGACGTATATTGTCTTAGAACACATAAAACCTTGTTTTAACCACAAGGGAAAAAGCTGACTCACATCCAGGTTCAGGAGTCATTCATGGACGACTCTATATTAAAATGTTTACGAGGCATTGAAAGGCCATGGTGTTTGTCGACTACCATTTTCCTCCCTCTGCATCCCTACTAACGCTAGAATGTGATGAGCTGAGCTGTCGTTACTTTAAAAAAAAAAAAAAAAAACGTAATATGGCATATTAAATCCCTGAGCAGAATCAAAGGATATGAATCATTTTTTATTTTGCTTTGCAGCAGTTTCCCTACAACAGACGCAGCAGCCGACAGACTGAGAGCAAAACAAAAACAGTCACTTGGGAGGTGACAAGCAAGGCTACTGATGGGACACAATGGGGGGAGGCAGCGTAGTCATAATGAGAGGTGTGTGTGTGTGTGTGTGTGTGTGTGTGTGTGTGTGTGTGTGTGTGTGTGTGTGTGTGTGTGTGTGTGTGTGTGTGTGTGTGTGTG